TTGTGGGTCTAAATGACTGAAGTAGATTCTCATCCCTATGACCCCCACCCAAATTCAGAATGTGACTGTCGAGCACCTGCTTGAAACCAGGACCTTGCTCAACTGAAATGCAAAGCTAATGTGCTGGCTCACTGACTGGAAAATTTTGATCCCACATAGAGCCCAGAGGCCCCACTTATTAATATTTTAATTTCTATGATTAGCTAGCTTTACATAAGGATAAGGAAGTCACTGTGTTATGGATATTGGGCTTATAGTGTCTTTAGATAGATCAGGAAGCTGCTGTCCTCTCACAGAGCTTGAAACTCTGTGGTGGGTGACAGTCCCTAGTAAGGTAAGTAAAGCTATCTTTTGATTTGAAATTCAGACTTAGAGTTCTTTCTGGAGGGCCTCCCCATAACACCATATATTCAGCAGGCTAAGACAGAAGGATCTCAAATTCAAGGCCTGTCTCAGTAATTTTGTGAGAACCTGTCTCAAAAAAAAAAAAAAAAAAAAGAAAAAGACTTTAAAAAATGGACTCTGGATGTGGCTCAGTGGTGTAGATCCCCTGGGTTCAAACCTTGGTACCGAAACTGAATTCATGAAAAAGTTAATTAACTAAATAATTAACTAATAAAAATGAAAAAAAAATCTGAGGATGTAGCTCAGTGGTAAAGCTCTCCTGGGTTTAATGCCCAGTGTCAAAAAATAAAAAATAAAAATACATAAATTCAGGGCATAAATATTTTTTAAAAATGATCACCTGTACTCATAAAATTTCTGCAAAAGTCTAACTCTTCATAGAACAGTAAAGGCCAGAGCTTGGAGATGAGATACCCAAGGCCTAATGAATAGGCAAAATTGAATTTAAAAGTGATTTCCTGGTGGAGGGACTCTGAGAACCACTTTCTCCAATCCCACCTTGTTGTTCAAATGTGGCTCAATGAGTTTCAACATTGATTCCTAGTCATCTATTAACTCCCACCAATGGGGGACTGGACCAACCAGAAAAAGTGTATCCTGGCACTGAGATAGAATCAAACCCTAACCATTATGTGATACATCCAGAGAAAAAATCTTCATCCCATGGGGGAAACATAAATGGTGCTCAAATCAAAAGGAAGTCACAGTGTCAAATCCTGATGAAGGGCAAGCAGGGTGCTGTGAAGGGAAGGTTCCTGGGCCGCCCTACCTGATGGCAGGAACTATCACAAACCAGTCAGCCCCAACCTCAGCTGTGCATAAAATCCACCCAAACCCTCAACCCTCATGACTTCTAAGAGGACACCTGGCCAGACACCACCTAACGTCCTTGAACTCAGGTCACCCTTGGTACTGAATCTGTGGAGCCATTGATAATTGATTCAAAGCTGCTTTTGACACCCTGTCTCTCTTTGTCCCCAGGATGGGGATCTGACTCATATTTCTTTGAGGGTGCTGCATTCCTGCCCTATTATGTTTGACCACATTTGTCTTTTGGAGAGCCACTGTCTGTTGCGACTTAGGTTGATTGTCATTTTGACCTGCCTTGTGCACCAAGTCAGGGGTAATAAGAGAAGTCAGGGCTGTGGCATGAAGTCACCCTTTTAGCTGGTGACACACAGACAAATTTCAAAGAAACTTAAAATTAAAGCAGAGAGTAGATTTCAAATATTGTAGAGCATAAAAACCAGAGACAGTGTTTGTTGTAGCCTTAATCCTATATAGCTGCACACACACATGAAATTAAATGTGTTTCATTTGTGGCAAGGTATTATGTGAAACAGGAACCAAATATAACCTTAGCCAATTGTAATTATCCAACTAACATATGATTATGTGATGTGAGCAGGGATATTTTCCAACAAGATACCCCAAAAGACCATCAGAGTTTAGATGCTGTGTCTCCCAACAGCTCACATGTGACAATGTTTTTGAAGGAGAAATGATTGGTTTACAGTCTTAAACTAGCCAGTGAATTAATCCCTAGTGGGATTAACTGGGTGATAATTGGGGCAGGTGGGCTGTGGCTTGAGAAAGCTGATCTCTGGGGTGTGAATATGGGTGTAGAGTTTGTATCTGCAAGTGTCCATTTCTCTCTCTCTCTCTCTCTCTCTCTATCTCTCTCTCTGCTTTCTGGTAATGTGAGCTTCTTCCCTCTGCCACACACTTCTGCCATAAGATTCAGTCTCAACTTGGAGGTGCTGTCTCTGGATTGAGGCCACTAAAACCAAGCCACCTAAATAAACATTTCCTCCTCTGTAGTTGTTGTCCTTGGGTCTTTTTGTTACAACACCATAAAGCTAACTAAAACAAAGACAGAATGAAAAAACAGAAATTCAATTGTCTGACCACCACCCATCAAACCATCCCTTCTACATGTTTCCTGGTAGTGCTCACCTCACATGGCTCATCCAAGCATTCCATCTCTTTCTGTATCTCCTTCCTCAATTTTAGAATTTTATTTTACTCAGACTCTTGAAATTTTCTTTTGCTTCTGTTCTACTCCCAGGCTAAAAGCCTTGGAAAGTGCCTGGGGCAAAGGTTTTCTGGGAGATGTGCCCTGGGGCAGTCCCTGATTCTGAAGGAAGTCTCTGTAATTGGTGACTTTCCTGAAGTCAAGGACACCTGTTGTCCAACCCTGTGTCTTTCTCTCAGATATCCCAAGTTGCCTGCCACTTCCACCCTCAGTGGCTTTAAGAGGTTCCCAAGTCTGATAGGGCATAGTGGCCTGTGCCTGTAATCAAAGCAATCAGGAGACTTGAGGAAGGGGCATGGCAAGTTTGAGGCCAGCCTCAGCAACTGAGGGAGGACCTAAGCAATTTAGTGAGACTCTGCATCCAAATAGAATTAAAAAAATAAAAAGGGATGGAGCTGTGGCTCACTGGAAGAGAGCCAATGGGTTTCATCCGGAGTACAAAGAGACAGAAGAAATATTGCCCTATGTCTAGAAGACTGATTCTATCTTCCTTTGTGCTCTACCTAACTTATTGTGCTCATATTTGTTGCAAGTTAACCTGATACTTGTGTGACTGTGGGAAACATGGTTTCCATTCTATAATCATTGTGGATGACACTACTGTCTTCAAAAAGCTGTTTTCTCTCTGGAATTTTCAAACTATTTTTGAAAATTATTTTTTTTTTCAAATAATTTTGATATGGCAAAGATCCCTGTAGAAAGGTATTTTTCAGTAATGTTTTTCTTACATCAGGGATTAAATACTTTTAAGTCTCACAGTAGAAACAGGAGGGTCACATATGGACAAAATTGAGTCCATGGTGGGGAGTGCATAAACAAAGTCATCTCTAACTCTCACATCTTTTGATTCTGCACTCTTGCATGACCATCAGATTCAATGAACTAATGCAAGGAAGAAAATCCCAGCATTATTAAGTGGGTGGAGATTTTGGAAGGTGATCACATACTGCTTTCTGATTGGATGCTAATCAATCAGATGGAGGTGGGGGCATGGCCAGAGAGGTCCATAAAAGCTTCTGCAGAGCCAGAAGTGAAGCACAAGAGTCTTGCAGCCTAAGGAGACACATCCTGACCTGCTGAAGTTCAGAGCACCTGTAAACCTGGCCAGATCCTGTAAGTCCCTCACTGTCCTAAGAAACGGTGCCTTCCCTTCTCACCTGTGTGAATTTAGGAACAATTTTGTTTCTGTCTTTTCTCATGAACCAACTTAGGCCTTCGATTTTGCCTCTCAGTTTGGTTTTGCCTTTATGCTTAATATTAGGATTTCCATTTTGTTTTATGTCACTTTCAAGTTTTTTTTTTTTTTTTTTTTTTTGTACCAGGTATTGAACTCAGAAGTACCGGGTATTGAACTCAGGAGCACTCTACCACTGAGCCACATCCCCAGCCCTGTTTTGTATTTTATTTAGAGACAGGGTCTCACTGAGTTGCTTAGCACCTGCTCTTACTGAGGCTGAATTTGATCCCTTGATCCTCCTGTGTAAGTCTCCAGAGCCCCTGGGATTATAGGTCTAGGCTCACATGCCCAACTTTTATTGATTTGTTTAATTTTTGTTTTCTAAGGTATATATGAACAATATAATTTAATTATTTATCCATTTATTTATTTGGTGGTATGGTGATTGAACCCAGGGCCTTGTACTTGTGAGGCAAGCACTCTAATAACAGAGGTATATCCCCAGGTCACTATTTATTAATTTTTATGTGCTGCTGAGGATCAAGCCCAGTTCGGGCCCCAGCCACTTCCTTCACCAAGGACATTGGATTCCTATTTCATTCTAATTGATTGCAATTCTATTTTCTGATGGTGGAAATATTTATATTGTGTGCCTATAAATTATACTCTTTTGCTGGGTGTGGTGGCACACACCAATAATCCCACCGACTCAAGAGGTTGAGCAGGCAGGATTATTAGAGCACAATGCCAGCCTCAGAACACGAAATGCTACACAAAACAATAAGTCCTTGTCTCCATCTCAAATACAAAATAGAGTTAGGGAAGTGGCTCAGTGGTTGAGTGTCCTAAATTCAGTCTCCAATATCGGCCCCTAAAAGAGTATACTGTATGGCCTGGGTGGTTTTGTACTTTTATAATTTGTTTAAAAAAAATTAAAACAAAAGCTTCAAATAATCTAATGGAACAGTTCACAGACTCTGTTCTGATCTGTTTGTTCTTTTCAACATCCCCCTAAGATGCCAGAATCTCACATATGTAACAGATATCCATGAGACTCTGTTGTAATTTCCAAGTGTTTTATAATATAGGCACATGGTTTATAAATGCTCATTTAAAAAAAATTAAAAGGAATGTCATCCATATGAGAGCTAGTCTATTTCTACCTATATAGTTGTTTAATCTAGGAGCCTACTGTTTAGGTCACATGACACTCCAATTCCCCCTTTTAAAATAACAAATTAATAATCCAAAGCTTTCCCCCATAAGGGTGAGATGTGCTTCTATAATTCCCAGTACCCCCTTCCAAGAGGCTGGAAATGGATGGGATAGTGACCTTTTCCCTGGGCCATTTTCCAGGATTTTTCTTCATTCAAACTCCCCAGGATGAACATCCATTCCCCACCCACACTGCTGGAGCTGGCAGGGCACAGCCTCCTGAGCGAGAAGTCCAGGGCTTTCCTGGATCTGGAGGACTATCCCATAGAGCTCTTTTCACCACTCTTTGTGGAGGCCTTCAGTAGGGGACACACTGAGGTCCTGAAAAAAATGGTGCAGGCCTTGTTCTTCACCCGCCTTCCCCTGGGGGCACTGATGAGGAAGCCACAGCTTGAGATGATCCAAGTGGCCCTAGATGGCCTGGACATGCTGTTTGCTCAGCAGAATCACCCCAGGTGAGGGGGAACTAGGTGGCCTGGAAGGGAGCACCCTGGGTGCCAGGGAAGGGATGGGTATAGGCAGGGAGGAGTGGGTGCTGAATTGTGCACCACAGGCTTCGTGTGCTGCCAGCAAGGAGAGGCCTTGGCCATGCTGAGGTTTATCTGGGAAAGGCTTCCAGATGTTGAGGTTCTTGTGGCAGCTGTAGTGACCCATGAAGGAGGCTATACTTGCTTCTGCCTCAGTGTGTACAAGTAGGGGCACCAGGCTGGATGAGAGGGAAGTGGATGGAGGAAAGTGAGACAAAACGAAGAGGGGGAGGTCGGGGCAGCAGATAAGAGGTGAAAAAAGGGGCCTCAGTTGTGAGACTCTGCTGTTGTTCCAGCAGGAGGTGGAAACTGCAGGTGCTAGATTTGTGGAATGTTCTCCAGAACTTCTGGAGGATGTGGTCTGGAGTCCTGGTTGATGCCTGCTCACCAGTTGAAATTAAGAAGAATTTAACATTGAAACTTGGTCCAGCAATGGCAGCTAAGCCACCCTTCAATGTAGTCATAGACTTGAGCCTCAGAAAAAAAACCCTGGATGAATTCCTTACCCACTTGTTCCTGTGGGTAAGACAGAGAAGGGACAGGCTGAACCTGTGTTGCAATAGGCTGAAGATCTTTGGGAAACCCACCAGCTACACCAGGAAGGTCCTGAGACTGCTGCAGCTGGACTCTGTCCAGAAGGTGGAAGTGCATTGTGCCTGGGCACCCTCCACCTTGGCTGCTTGTGCTCTATTTTTCGGCCAGATGAGGAACCTGAGTAAGCTGCTTGTCTCCCAGGTCTATGTGCTTGCCTACACCTCCCAAGAGGAGCAGGAGCAGCTGCTTGCCCAGCTCACCTCGCCGTTACTCAGGATGGACTTCCTGCAGAAGTTCTGTGCCAATGCTGTCTTCCTCCTTGAGGACCACCTGAAACAGGTGCTTAGGTGAGTAAGAGGGGGTGAATATCCTCTGAAGACCAGTTACAGGAAATTGGCACCTACTAGCCACTGACACTCTCATGGTTAATAAGGCACTGGAAGGTAAATAACTCATCCTTTAGTTCCTATTGGATCCTGAAGCTAGTTTGCATAACATGAGTTGGAGCAGACTTCTAAATGAGGGTCCAGAGTCTAGGACGTGCCACCTTGCTGGGAATCCAGTTGGGATGGACAAAAGCTAGAAATGGGATTGATGTTCCCTCCATGGGAGGCCTGTCCAGCAAAGGTGGTGGAAAGCAGGTAGAGAAGAGTGCTTGGAAGAAGGGAAGCCCCAACCCTGACACCTGTCAACAGGGTAGGTCTGTGCTCCCCAGCTGGGAGCAGAGGACCTGCCTTTATACCCACCTGGGGAAGGCTGTTCTGAACTCCAGGTAGTGATCCTTGGTGTAAGGGTCAGGAGCAGGGGTAGAAATCTTGCTGAGGGTATAGGGTGTGTGCCTCTCAGAGGGTTAACCCCAGTGGATTTTGATATATCCTGCCCAAATTTGTCCTTCATACATGACTCCCCATGACCTCCTGTGGCCAGACCTGTAAGTTAGGAGAAGACACAGATATGTGGACTCATCTGTTCACAGGAGATGTATTGAAAGGCTCACCCTTACATGGGGTGAAGTGAATGACCAGATTTTGCAAAAGGCAGCATCATAATTGTGGACCATTGTCGGATCACCAGGGTGACTTTGGTTTTGGGCCAATTTGTCTTCTCCCTCCTTGACATTGCTCCTCACAACTAACTGTCTGGTTTTTCATTAGGCACCTGAAGACCCCCCAGGAGACCCTCTCAATAACCAACTGCCCACTGTCAGATTCTGACTAGAATTACCTTTCTCGATATCCAAACGCCAGACAGCTCAGACACCTGGAACTGAGGGGCATCAAACTGAGCCATTTCAGTCTGGAGCCCCTCTAAATCGTGCTGGACAGCAGTGCAACCACACTGAACATCCTGGACTTGGCAGGTTGTGGGATCACTGATTCTCAGCTCCAAGTTCTTTTGCCTGCCCTGAGCCGCTGCTCCCAGTTTGTGATCTTGAGCATCCATGGGAACCGCCTCTCTATGTGAACCCTTAGGGACCTGCTGCCTCACACTGCCAGGCTGAGCCAGTTGAGAATAGAGCTCTACCCTGCCCCTCTGGAGAGCTATGATGCCTGGGGTACCATCCACCCTGAGAGGTGTTCCCAACTCTGTGCTGAGCTGACAGCAATAGTGAGGGATTTTAGGCAGCCGAACATTCTTGTTTTCTGTACTGTCCCCTGTTGTCATTGTGGCTCCAAGTTCCTGTATAACCAGGGCCTCATTCACTGCTCCTGTCCAACAGCTTCCAAGTTGAGTGTGTTTCAAAAGTGTGCATCTAGGCAATTTTAAATATAACCAGGATATAAGGTAACCTTAGAGGGAACACAGAAACAACCATTTCAGGCATTGCCTAAAGAGTGGATGGGAAAAGGAAAGTACAGCAGGGGGCTCCATTGGAGAAAAGCCCCCCTAGGATAGGACCTTTAGGACATGTGTCTCTATAGAGACATACATAGGGACCTGGATTTCTAGAATGGGATTCAGGCATGATGGGCAAAGAAAGATGCTACTTTCTTTCATTGCTGGTTTATAAATCATCATAAAAGGAACACAATCTCAAGGTTAGTCTTCTGTCATCTTCTGCACTGAATTTACCTGGCTTTCTAATGAAACCTTGGGATTTTTCAGGTGCTGATGGAGAAAGAAGTCATGGGGTACTTGGTGAACAATGAGGTTCATCCCCAGGAAGTAAAGGTATCAAACTGAAATCTGGTTATGATGTGTGGCTACTCTGTGGCTTAACACATGCATGTTCACACAGGTGGATTGGAACATTCTATGTAGGCATTGAACATGAGCCATTGAAAGAAAACCTCTTCTCAGTGGACCTCAGTGCCACCCAGACATTCAATGCTGGTTCTTCCTCATGGGTCTCCATTTAGACCCGGAAAACTCAGGTCTTGTTCTCTGGGTGTGCTGGGCAAGGGCATCTGTGCATAACAAAGGCCACATTGTCTCAGTCCCACTGCTGCAGGAGGTGTCCATGTTGCACATTGACCAGAGCCTCTGTGCCTAACTAAACCTTACCTGTCATCCACCTAGGTAGTCTGTCCACAGTTAAAACTTTGGTGCCCGTTGAAGGTACCCAAATTCGCTTTCAGCAAAATAGTAGAATCATATATGTAGATAACACTTGAAAATATTTCAAAATGAAACTGAATCAATTAAAAGCTCTGCGGGGGGTGCGTTTAGCACATAACTGAGAGATCTTACTCTAACAATTCCCTCCACTGAGAACTGGGCTGATGGGGTTGTGCAGTGACCTTAGCCTTTGTTTCTAATCCAAGAATGAGAACAATGTCCACCCAGTCTTCATTTGAGGTATTCTAAAGCTGCCTGTGGACATGTTTTAATTATGGCTTGAATAATTCTCCACACATAGTGAACTGGAACACACTTTGATGTGTAAGCAGACTGCAGCTCACTCTTGGAACTGGTAGCAGAGTCTGGGCGAAGCACAGCCATCCTCTCTGTCACCCACAGAGTGATCTTTGTGCCTTGCTCCCTCTTTGTGGCACTTACTTTACTCCAGCTCTAAGTCTAGCTTGCACATGTGAGGCAGGTGGAAGGTTTTGAATGGCATTCATTTTGTTGGATTCAAGGATCAAATAAAGTCAAGGAATATCTGCATAATGAGATCTGTCATCATGTGTTCTTTTAAGAGTTATCAAAGCTAAAAAGGGACTTGAAGATACTCTGGTTCCTCCAGACCCCTTGAACTCTGGAAGGATTGTGAGGGCACTTTGTTTTCTCAGATGTCTGGGGATAAAGCACTCACCTCTCTTTGAGTTTCTCATCTTTTGACTCTAGGTTAATTTGTGCTGTGAGCAAGCATACAACTTTAGGATGTCATAACAAACACGACCTGGTTTGTAAGGGTGGCCGGGTCAAGAAGTGGGGACTGGGTTTCACTCCTTGGCCACTGAAAGATGCACAGTCCTTTCTACACCTGTATCCAAAAACTCTACAGCCCCTTCTGGAACACTTGCCAATTTTACCTCCACAATTTAGAAAACCCAGAAAACATGCTATTCTAGAGAAATGAGTTAACTTCATCAAAGCTAACTCAGGGAGCTGGGGACATTTCTCTGTGGTGGAGCACTTGCTAGCATGTGGAAGGGCCTGGGTTCCATCCAAGGCATCACAGAGATAAGTAAACAAATAAATAAATCCAAAAATGATGTGACCACATTGGGAAGGTTTAATTGAAATAGAGCTGTCTATCTGTTAGAAACATTCAAAAGGAAAAAACCACAACCCACATGAAAACAATGGAATGCATTCTTTAATTGGTCTGGATAGGTGGGTCAAATTGATGTCCTTAAAGATTCTCTTCCACAAACAATTGGAAAAGCTGGCTTGGTGGTTCTCAGCTGCAGTTCCAGCAGCTCAGAATGTGAGGCAGGAGGATGGTGAGTTCAAAGGGAGCCTCAGCATCTTAGAGAGGATGTAAACAAGTTTGTGAGACCCTGTGTTAAAAACCTACCTTGGGATGGGGCTCACTGGTGTGGCATCCTTGGGTTCACTGTCTGATCCCCAAAACAATAACAATTAAGTATGAAAAGCCAGTTGCAGTGGCACATGCCTGGCATCCCAGGTACTCTAGAAGCTTTATGATTTTATTCCTTCTCCCAAATTTACTAACTGGGGCATGACACATCCTTATTTTTTTTCAGTCCCTTGAGATGCAATATTCGGCCATTTATTCGAGATCTATTTTCCTCATGAAGCTATTTCTTGCTGAGGACTTCCCAGTTAGAATTGCTTTTGCTGTATCCCCAGGTTTGAATATCTTGTGTGGCCCTTTTCATTGGTCTGCAGGCATTTTACACTTTCTTTTTTTTATTTATTTTTCTTATTTCTTACATAGATGACAATGTTTTGATTTCTTCAATGACCCATTGGTTGTTGGGGAACATGCTGAATAATTCCCATGCTTTGTAACTGTCCAGGTGTTCCCCTGCTATGGATTCCATTCTTATTAAATTTATGAAGATTTATTGAGAATACATGGAGAATATGTTATGTGCTGTTGAGAAGGATGTTTGCTCTGCAGTAGTTGGGTGGGATGGTCTTTAAATGTCTACCCTGTGCAGACATGATTTGTCCAGTGCTGAAAAGGGGAGTTGACTGGGCTGGGCATGTGGCTCAAGCAGTAGTGTGCTTGCCTGGCATGTGTGGGGTCCAGATTCCATCCTCAGCACCACATAAAAACAAAGATTGTGTCCACAGAAAAAACTAAATAATAAATCTCTCTCTCTCTCTCTCTCTCTCTCTCTCTCTCTCTCTCTCTCTCAAAAAAAGGGGGGGATTTGAAGCCCCCACTGTTCTTAGTGTGTTGTAGTCAACTTCTTTTACATTCCAGTAATATCTGTTTTGCACATGTGGGTGCTTGGGTGTCGGGCACATGTGTGTGTACAATTTCTGTCTCATGTTGCTGAATTGACCCCTTTATCATAGTGTGATCACCTTGTCTCTTTTTATTGTGTTTTAATCTGTAGTGTATTTTATCTGACAGGAGTCTAGCCATTCCTGCTTTAGGTTGGTTTTCTTCGTGTGGAATATCTTTTACATTCCTTCTCTGGTACTCTGTGTGTGTCCTGAGGTGAAATGACTTTCTTGTAGATAGCAGGCGACTGAGTCCATTAAAAGAAGAAAATCTATTAAGTCACTTTACATCTTAAAAGAGGGGAGTTTATTCCCTTTACATTCAAGGTTTTTGATTGAAAGATGCATAATTATTTCAGACTGGTCTTATTTGTTTTTAGTTTCTTTTTCAGATTTCTTTTTAGATCTTTTTCTCTGTTTTCCTCTCTTACTCTCTAGTCTGTTTCTGTGGGTTGGTGTTTTCTTCTGGGATAAATTTGGATTTCCTTCTTTGTCATTTGTGAACATGGTGTCATTTTTGTTTTTTGTCTGGGCTTCCTTTGGGATTTAGAAAATTTTTACAGTTTCCAAAGAGCGTTTTAAGCTGAACAGAACTTCTGTATGCTCTGATACCAGTACTCTCTTTAAAAAAAATCAAGTAAAAATATAACAACCTATTCCTCTTATAGGCAGAATAACAGCCTTTAAAACTCCACACCCTAAAATTTTATTCAGCAACAGAACAAGGTACCCAAGTCACTTTTTCTTCTTCTCCTCCTTTTCCCCCCCTTTGGTACCAGGAGTAGAACTCAAGGACACTAAACCACTGAGCAAGAGTTCTAGCATTTTTTTTTAATTCAGTAAATACAGAGTAGTGGGGAATTGCTCCTCCAGGAAGGAGGCCCCTCCCACATGGGTGTCAGAGGGAGATCTTATACCACTGTAGCCATGGTAGAGGGTACTTTCTCCTTCAGGTGTGTGACCCCTTCTACCTGGATGGCTGGGGAGTTCATATACCACTGCTGGCAGGGTAGAGGGAACTCTCCCCTCCAGATGGGAGACCCCTTCTATCTGGGTGTCCTGGGTAGAGGGGACTCGCAGCTCCAGGAGGAAGACCGTTCCACCAGGGTGTCAGGGAGAGTTCTTGTGCTGCTGCAGGCAGGGTAGAGAGGACATGCCCTTCCAGACGGGAGACCTCTCCCACCTGGGTGTCTGGGTGAGCTCCTATACCTCTGCAGCCAGGGTAGAGAGGACAGGCCCCTCCAATCGGTAGACCCCTCCCACCTGGGTGTTCAGGGGAGCTTGATTACTTCAGCATCCAGGGAACAGGGGACTCGCTCCTACAGGCCGGATCCCCACCCAGCTGGCTGTCAGTGGGAGCTCCAATACTGTGACAGCAGGGTAGAGGGAACATGCCCCTGCAGGCAGAAGACTCCTCCCACCTGTGTGTTCTAGGAGCTCTTATATGGCAAAAGGTAAAGTAGAGAGAACTCGCACTTCCAGTTGGGATACCTCTCCAACCTGGGTGTCAGGGAAGCTTGTATACCTTAAAAGCCAGGGTAGAGGGGACTCTCCTGTCCATACAAAAGACCACTCCCACCTGTGTGTCTTGAAGAGCT